TTAAAATAATTTACGATCCTATGCAAAAGAAGGAAAAAAACTTAGCTCGATGCATTTTTAGCCGTGACTTGGCATAAATTGTCGCACTGTCCCGAAATTAAGCACGCAAGTCGATTATTCACGCCCATTGTACGCAAGGCGAAGCTGTGATGGGGCCACTAAGTGGGTTCGAGTCCCATTTAACTGTAAAATCAAAGTGATCCTACTCATAAAACCTATAAAATACAATACCCATCAAATTTGTATGCAGTTTCAGGCTTAAGAATTATTGAATATTTAATATATAATTAATTTTTAATATTCAATATTTTATATTCATATTTAAAATTTTATATTTTTTATTTATTTTTTTAATTCAAGATTTTTGTTTGTAATTTTTCGTATATTTATTTAACATTATAAATTTTTTACATTTTTTATTTTATATATTTTTTAATTTTAACTAAAATAATTTTTTTTTTTTTACTTTTACTTTGCGTAGCTAAACTCAAAAGTTGAAGATTTTAAAATTACCCAAAGTTCAGTCCAATATATTCTAAAAGTTTCTCCGTTTGCTGCGCGTTGCTGCAAAGGCCTCATAAGGCATTCCCAGCATAAAATTTTAAAAACATCTATAGCAACATGAAATTTGGAATGGGTGGAATGAAATACGAAAAATGAAATAAAATCAAACGAAAACTAAGCCAACTCCTGGCTGATTTCTTCGAGGCGCTGCAGCAGCTGCTTGCAGGATTCGCGCTCCTCGTTGCCGCACGAGCTGGTCGGCCTGGCCAGTTCCATGAGCAGCTCCAAGATGCCAATGAGCAGCCCATTGAACTCCTGCTCATACTCGGTCAGGCTGGCGTCAAAGTCCTGCTCGTTTTCCTGGCGCTCCAGCAACTGTTTGAAGTTGAGACAGAGCTGACCCAGCGTAAAGAGGGAGCGCACAAAGGTCACCGACTCGGAGAGCAAGCACATCACCTGACAGCTGTCCAGAGTCTCCTGAAACAGGCTGATCAGCTCGTCCACAAACTGCGCCTTCGGCACATCATCGAGCAAGGCTTGCCAACGTGGCTTTATAACGTCATGGGTCATGTGCTGCTCCAGATGCAGGATGCACTGCAGCATGCGCTTATGCAGCGCCTCGGCACGATCGCTCTTGCTGCTGGCTGACTTCAGTTTGCGCTGCACGTAGTGCAGATAGAAGAGCACGCGATGCATCAGTTGCAGCTGCTCTAGCGGCTCATCGTGCAGGATCAGGCTGATGGGCCACTGGGGCTCATAGCGCAGAGAGAGAGCTTCGTAGCCATAGAGCGAGAGTTGCTCTGGCATCCGACTGCTATCGTCAGCCTCGCTGGACAACTCGAATTCAGCTGAAGGTTGATGCACCAGATGCTTCTGCTTCTCTTGTTCTGGTTGCTTCACTTCCTCCAGTTGCTTCATTGCTTCCGGTTGCTCTGCTTGCACCACCAGCTCCTCCGGTTCAGTCAGCTCCATTTGATCCGTCAGCTCCATTGGGTCCGACAGCTCCGCCTGTTTAGGTTGCTCTTGCTGCGCCGTCTGCTTCGCCTGCTCTGCTTTCGCCTCTGCCTCAGTCTCTTTCTCTTCCTGCCTTCCCGCCTTTAGACGCTTCATGCGTCTGGTTATCTGCGTGGTCACATCGCAGTCCATCAGCTGACTGCGCAGCAGATGCTTGAATGGATCTGAGCTGTACTGCAGCAGTCTCAGCGTGATCTTGTGCAGCTTCTCTGGCCTCAGGTCGTCCACGTTGCACTCCAGCTGGTCTCCGTAGTACTCCATCAGCGCCTCATTGAAGTCCAACTGCTGCAGCAGGAAGTATGCCTGCAGATTATCGAGATGCTGCAGCAGATTCTGCTCCTGCACCAAGACCTCGTACAGCTTATGAGCGGGCAGCTCATAGCTGCTGTGGATCAGCTCCACGTGCGACTGGTTGCCGGGCACAAAGCTGAGCGAGGCCTGCATCAGCTTCATCTGCACGTTGCACTGCCGCAAAACGTTCAGGTACTTTCCCGCCAGGAAGATGCACTCAGCTTCCGGTTCGAGGAAGCTGGGCAGGCGGCTCATGTAGATGCAATAACGATTCATCCAGTAGGAGTGGCAGCATTGCTTGGGGGACAGCGACGTGCTGCTCATATCACCCGGACTGGTATCCTCAATGAAGAACTCCCTGCGCACATCGTAGAGGACGCCCTTCTGCGTCCACAGCTGCACCATCTTCATGTAGTAGTGAGAGACATCTGTGAGCAGCAGCTTCAGCCGTTCGCACTTGAAGTGCTCCTGATGCTCGTCAATCAGCGTCAGCATCTGGGCGCTGTTCAGCTTCAGGGAGCGCACTCGACTAGTCAAGTTGGCCAAGGATTGCATGGTCACCAGCCAGGGACGGAGGCGCTGCACCAGCTGGTGCAGATCCAGCTTCTTCTCCTGCAGCTGTGTCTCCAGCCCCGACTGCAAATCGAAGTACTGCTGCATGGTCTGCTGCAGAGCCAAACTCAGGGAACGGCCGCATCCCGTCGACATGCTCGCATCCTCAATGAAGCTCTGCACTGTGATATAGTAGCCGATCAAGGGCAGCAGCTCGGTGGCCAGGGTGCGAAAGGCGCTACTGAAGTTCTCGTTGATCTTGAAGCGCACCTTTTCGACCTGATTGGCGCGCACCTTCGTGATCTGCTCGATGGGTAAATCGGGGCGAATGTGGGAGGAGGGCACGCCCGAAAAGGCATAGATCAGATCGCGTATGAGGAGTTCCTCCTGCCGTTGCAACGATAGCTTCGTAACATCCTCGGTAGGCATATAGAAGCCGCCCACGCTCTCAAACACCCAGTTGCCCATTTTACGCTTAAATCTACCCGGCTCACCCGCTCCCTCACCGGCTCCTTCATCTTTCGCCGAGTCCCGCTGCTCCGAATCGCCCAACGAAGGCTCGTCCCCAGTTTTGTTCGAACGGAAACTGCTTTGCGTTGTATTAGTCTCTGGTATCTTCAAATCCATGATGGATCAAGATATAGATATATGTATGTTGTATAAAATATAGTTGGACAGTGTTTTGGTTGAGACTAGTTGAATATACAGCAAATGTGAGGGAGTTCTGGCTTGAATTCCTTTGTTTGGAAGTATGATATTGTAGTCGTTAATTCAATTTGGATGCCGAAAATGAAATTTCTATGATATGTAGATCTTGAAAATGAACTTTAAATAAATTATGTCCTAGTAGATAGGCTATGCTTAAAAAAATAACTACAGTTGTTAAGTTGCTGGGTTATAGGTAACATTATTCGTGTGACGTAAGCCTTGAATTAAAAAACTAAAAGAAAATGTATGCTCAGGAGTTAGATGAATATCATAAAGCTAAAGCAGTGTAAAAAGCTTTTCCCTTATCAAATTCGAAAACACATGTGTCTAATGGTTTTATTGTCGCGATGGCATTTATTACATAATTTATACTCTCTACCATTCAGATATATAAAGATAATCACAATTGATTATATATACATTCGATGATATAAGGCTAATGCCTAAATGTCATGCGATCTATGCAACAGCTTCGGGCCGTGCCAGGCTTTGGCCCAACTTATGAATGAAACCGGCGCCGCACTTCATTCAGCTAAATTCGCAAAGCAACAACAACAGCAAAAAATATTCATTTTGCAAGTGGCACGTACCTGCTGCAGTGTCCGCCGTACCCAGCGGCGACATCTTCGACGCAGACGCCGTTGCATCCGCACAGGTGGTTTTTGCATTTGGATACCAAATGCGAGTCACCTGTGTACGTACGTGAGCGAGGGCCAGCAACGTGTTGAGAATTTTCCACAAAACAAAACCAATATAATAATATAAAATCACAGCCCTGGGAAAGAGCCTGATGCACTTTCTTCATAAATAAGTAAATAATGTATGTATGGCTGTGTATGTAGCACACGATGCATGGCCTAACTATGAGAGAATTTTTATATTTATGGGCATTGTCGCGTGAGTGCCACTGTAGTTGTTGTTATTGTTCTCGTTGTCTGGCTGTTCTCATTCTAAACAATGCAACGTCAGCGTCGACGTCGTCGTCGACAGCAACATTAGCATAAATAAATAAATAACCGTAATAACAGCGACAACAACAGCGTCAGCGCTAAAGTGCATAGGCAACGCGAGCAAGTAAATAACAACAACAAGAATTAGTATAAGAAAGAGCAATAAAGCTTTTTCGGCTTCTGTTGCGTTTCGATGGCTCTTCTTTTTCACACAGTCCATCGGAAATGCACGCCAAGCTTTAGTTTTCGTTCTCTTCCATGGGCGCTCTCTCTCTCCCTCTCTCGTTTTCTAAATACGTTTTGACACGCGGCAGTAGCTATAAAGCACCCACACGTGCTCAAAACACTGTGGTGCCATATGTAATACATATACAAATAATACACATAAGTGAAGTGTAAACAAATGAATTTGTAAAATAAATACAAAATATACTTTCAGTTTATGTGTAAAGCAAAGTTTCAGTTTTTATCAATATTAATTATATATATATTAATTAAATCTCCTTTAATTACACTTCAACCACTGTGCGCCGGCCTATTACAATAACAAATTCTTAGCAACAACAAAAAGCTCGACTAGCCTGCATGTACTTAAATATGGCTTTTGTTGCCGTTACGGACAATCAAATTGAGTGCAAAGCTCAATTTCAGTTTCGGCAGCAGCAGCAGCGACAGCGGCCGCGGCCTAGAGAAGGGCAGGGCTTAGCTGAGCGACCAGCAGCAGTGACGACGACGTCAGCAGCGAAGCCGGCTTTGAAGTGCGATGTGCTCTGACTGCAAAAAAGTGCCGTTTAAGGTTTCGGGGTTTTTATTTGTAGCTGTTGCTTATTGCATTATTTATACGCGCTCGCATTTACTTTCTTGAGCGAGCACACACACGCACATACTCTCGCTCACACACACGCAACCTATAAACAAAGCGCGCACACAGAGACAGACGACAACAACAGCAACGGGGTGTCGCATTGGTGACAATTTGCGCCTACTGCAACAACACTCTCGGTCTCAGTCTAAGCCGCTCTCGGAGTTAGCAACGTCGCAGCCGACGCCGTCGTCGCAGCGGCAAATGCGACCGCATTCTCAGTCAAACAACAAACGTAACTGAAGTAACAACGGTGTCCGCGGCCAATAATATTAAATACACCACGCTCCCCCCTCGAGTCTATAAAATACTAGTGCTATAAAGGAAACAACGAAAAGTGATTTAAAGGCATACAAAACAATAATATTGTGTGCAAAAATCAAGAATAAGAAGAAGTCAAAGCTTTGCTGAAAGAGCGCCAAGCGCAGGCGACTGGAAGTGTTTCTATCTCTGTCGCTCGACTTGAAAGTGATGAAATTGTTGTTGCTGCATTTCGGCAGCAAGTGTTGTGCTTAATGTTGCGTCTGCCAACGCGTGAGCAGTGCGTCGACTGGCTGCAGTTTATCTTTTTGCTGATCCTACACATCTGGAACGCCTTCAGCATGTCGCTAACGCGCAGCCGTCAAACGACGCTCAAGTGGATTAAGAAGCGTTTGTCGCTGCCGCGTCGACGTCAGCAGCACCAGCAGCAGCAGAGACAACGGGTAAGCGTCCTAAGTGCCGTTCAAAAGCGGGTCAACTATTTATTCAACCCCTTTGGCTAAGCTTTACTCTACAAATTGATTTTCATCTAATGTTGAATTTCTCTGGAATTCAATTAAAGCCAATAATTGGTGGTTTAATTTTGCGGTAAATTTTGTTTTTCCTGCGTATTTGAGGGCAGGGTTCGAACTTTTGCATTGGCGTGACTTGCAACAATTTCTCCATCAGGTTTGCCCAAAAGCTCAACCCCCGTTTCACCGTTACCGTGACGTAGTTGCCGACTGTCTGCCGCTTTGTTCCGTTTCCGTTGCCATTTGCTAAACACTCTAACCTAACGGTAGGTGTGTCCACCAGCCTAGCCCTGAGCCGCATTGCCGTTGCCGTAGCTGTTGCTCCTGTTGTTGTTGTTGTTGTTATTGTTGCTATTTTGCATGTCTGGCCTGTCTTCAAGTTGAGCGATTATCGCTGTCAGCTTGTATAACAGTTCTGCTCGCCATTTGAGTCGTTATCAATTTCGAACACTTTTCGCTGCATTGTTAGAAATCCAAATTTATGCGAATTTTTATGAAAGTTGTTGATGAGTTTCTTTGCTTTGTTGTATTTGCAATGAAATTTTTGGCAATTTCGAAATAGTTTCGGGGCGTACTGCTGTAACCACTCTATAACTAGGCGTATTGCAGGCATAACACGTATAAGGGAGAGTATGACAGACGCCGTGAGCATAGCAAAGAGTTTTCTATTGCACGAAATTTGTCAGAGTTTGAGATGTGTAAAAATGAGCATATTAGTTTCGAAGTCATACCTTATATATATTTACCAAACTTGATATACATGTAGATACTCTATCCTAACTGCATATCACATTATGCCAATTTATCTAGATATTACTCGAAGTTGGAAAGAAATTACAGTTTAACAGTCATTAAGCCAATAAGTAATTCTAAAAAGTCGTATACATTTCAGTTTCAAAGCTTCCATCTAAACAGTGTATTTGATTTTATTAAACAACCCCTGTTTATTAATTTTGTTTGAAAGCTGTTAGTTGATATATAACTTTGACTTTTCAATCAGGTTTCTAAGCTACTTCGAGTTACATATGAGATCATTGTTAGGGAAAAATATATTTCAAATTAATATACTTTATGTAATGAAAAAGAAAAAAAAAAAAAGCTACTGACATCATGAGTTTAGTCACATTTGTATTAGCTAACAACTGCCGGAAATGCACTTTTAATGAGTTAAGATCACAATAGAACACGAATGGTTGAAAGATGGAATTATATATTTAAGAGAATTTATGGGGTAATTACGAGATAATTATCAGATGATTAATAGTCTCTTCGTGTAAGGGGGATCAACAACAAGTATATAGATTATATTAGATTAGATAGAATTTATACTTTTTGTTCATACATATGTAGCTCATACAAAGAAACGATTAATTGTGATTCTGTATAACTAGACACTTTATCTATAGTTGAGCAAACGTATTCATTTCGCCTGCCAAATGTTTTATTTATAGCAAATTTTAAAGACACCTTCGTTCAAAGTATTTCTCGTAGATTGAAATCAAAACAAAATATTTATTCGCTTCGCGCAAATGTTTATTTCTCAGCACTTAAACTCAGCTTGCAGTAAACAAAAATCGCATGTTCCGATAATCGAAATCGCATCAGAAACCATGGAGCTGTGGAGCTATGGTGCCATGGAACCAATTCGTATAGCCGCAAACAAAGGGCCTGTCAGCTAGCTAGACAGACGATTATACGCGTATGGTGCATGGAAAGTGTGGAAAGTATCTCGAGTTTTTAGCCAAGTTCAAGGCGCTGGCAGCTGTGGCCGCTCTATGAGTGCTTGCCACTTCGCAATTATGGCTAACAATGTCTATCGGGCAGTTGGGGGCGGGGCAAAAAGGGAGAGGCAAATAAAGCAAACAATGCGATGGGGAGCATTAAACACAGAGAATTTCTGTCGCCCCCTTCTGAGCATGGCACACACAAAACAGTCGAACAATAAAAGAATACCCTAGCCCTTGTGCGCAGCAAATGTGGGTGTGTTGTTTTGAAAGCTATATATCAGAAAAAACACTCTGCTACAAAATCAATAGAGCAGTCGAATAGGGTGAAGGAAGTATTGAAATAAAGTGAATTATAATATAAATAACATATATATATTTATATACATAAAATAATTTTAAATACGAACCTTCAAAACATGATGTTTGTTTGAGTACATAAGGCAGAAAAAGAAATGCTATGTTGTTATGTTATTTAAATTATAAAAGAGCTCCAATATTAGTTGCATAAATATATAGTAAGAAAATATATTTAGACATTTTTTATAACTAAAAAAAAATATATATATTTTCAATCAAAATATATATATACATATATATACAATATTGAAAATAAAATAAGTTGTAATGATTTAAAAAAAAATTTTTTTTAAATAATTTTGTATAATAAGAAAAAAGTTTGCAATCAAGAAAAATATATAAAATTTAATAATTAAATTATTTTAAAACAAATATAAATATCAACATAATTAAGCAAAAATACGTATATTAACTTGTGGCACAGTGTATTTCTATAAAGAATTTGATTGACTCGCATTCAATCAATTCAAGAGCGCCTCGACGATTCATTCGCACAGCGGATTCACATTGAAAATCATTCGCACGCATGGAAAATCATTCAAGCTTGCAGTGTGTATGTGTGTGCGTGTGTGACTGTAAAGGTGTAGGTGTGCCTAGGCGTATGTGTGTGTGTGTGTGTGTGGGGCGTGTGTGCGGCTTTTCCATTTGGCGCTCGGCTCATTTCAATTTAGTTGTGCGCCGCAAACGCTTTGAACTTGTTTTCCCAAACGGACGCGAACATTTTCCAATTCGCAAGCGCAGTTCCAGTTGGAGCCGTCGTTTGCCAATTGGAGCCCTGCCCCGAGAGATTTGTGTGGCTGCGTCGCGATTTTTTTCCCATTGATCTCGCATCGCAAAAAAAAAAAAATCGAGGAAGAAAAAAAAGCCAAAATTTGTGCGCGTTTTGATTTTGTGGCGCGTTTTTCATTATTTATTTTTTTTACTGCTGATTTCTGCTGCACGTAGCTGGACCTGAACCTTTCTGTGGCTTACCCTAGGCTACGAGCCAACAAAGAAAAAAGAAACACACAAACTGAAAATAAACAAAAAACAACAACAATAACAACAACAGCAACAACTATGTATTGATAAATTGCCAGCCGACGATTTCCGTCGTGACCCGCGCGTTATGCAAAATGCTCAAATGTAAATAAATATTAAAATAATACACGAAAGAAGAAGCAGAAGAGGCAGGGAGTAAAAAGTGCACTAAGTCCCCTCTGCCACGCCCCTCCTCCCCTCGTCGCGCCTACCTGCCTTTGTTGGCTTGGCTTTTGTGAAAAATGAAGTGAATCTGTCTTTTGTAAAGTGAATCGCCTGCTGCCATAATAATAATAATAATAAGCAATAATAATAATAATGTAAGCCGACAAATTTCGGACTCGAGTCGCGCTGGATTTCTTTTTGAATTTATGAAAACAATAAACGCAACACAAACTACGCATTAAGGCGAAAAGTCTGAAGTCTGAAGTCTGGAGTCGAGTCGGGGAGTCCCTGTCTTTCCCTGTCTGTTGGATTTGCTGAGAGTCAGACGATTTCCTGGCACGCATACAATTTGCATGTGGATATCGCCAGACTGGCCTGGCCTGGCCCGCTCTCGCATCGATCTTTATGATGTCTTATGTAATCTGGAAACTATTCATGCAGCAATATGCTCGCCTGCGTACGCAGCCGCCGCTGAGTCCGCTGAGGCCGACATTGATCTGGCATTCGTATGCGGCCATTGCAACGGTAGGTGGCTTCGGCTCTTTGCCTTTAGGGCATTCACCAAAAAAAAAAAAAAAAAAAAAAAAAAGACGAAAATATGAAAAAACCACTCCAAATGGAAATGGAAATTGGAAATGTGTATGAGCACACACAGTTATAGTTATATATACTATATAGTTAGCTCTGCTGAATGTGGGTCACCTGGAAACTGTTACAGATCGTTCGTTGCTTTATTGATTTAAATTGAGCAATTTGCAATGCGAGAGCCTGGCTCACGTGTAATTGCAACTTAATGCCACCAAATTATTCATAACTAAGCGCTCCCAATTGAGAGATCACAGAAATTGATATCGTATTTAAGACGACTTGCCTCAAAGCAACCAGAAATAGGCTAAAACGGAGATTTTTAATGGGACTTGTAGATTTGTTTAAATTGGTATTTTTTTTATGCGAAAATTAATACATAATAATATAGTATATGTATATGGAAGATAATAATAATAGGAAATTAATTACCTTTTTTTTTTTTTTTTTTTTTGTGGCTTTTATTTTTACAGTTTACCCTTTCCTCTGTAAAAAAAAATTAAGTTTGGAGCATAAATAAATGTTTTTATTTTTCGTTTAATCAAACTAAATTTTTGTTACATTTAAAATAATTTGTATATTTTGACAAATTTTCATTTTTTTTTTTTTTTGCCTATTTTTATTAGAGCATCAAAGTAAATTTTAACCTCACATTTTCCGTTAGACTCGTTGGGAAAAGCGCAGGAAATGGCCAAAGATTTGGGAAGAAAATTATATAAAAAATAGTAAAACAAAACGAAATGAAAGAAAGACAAAGTAAAAAGCTGCTGCAATTGACATGGCCGTAATTTTTTTTTATTGATATGATATGAAGAGCAGGAGATGGTGGACCACCAGCAGTAGCCGCCATGGCCAATGGCCAAAGCTGTTGGCCAAAAGCCATTTGGCCAAATCGCTAGCTCGGCTTAAACGTTCCATTGATAAAAACAGTCTAAGAGCGAGAGAGAGAGGCAGCGAGGAGAGAGAAGAGAAGAGAGAGAGACACACCAGAGCTGCAATAAGTCAACGCTAAGTGTTAAAATGTCGATATTAATTGTGGACTGACTGCCAACGATTGCAACTGGTAAATGGCAACTC